ATCTTCAGCTACTTTGCCCTTTAACTACTTCAGCATACTTTCAGCTAGAAACACCATTCAACTTTTAAAATGTTTCCGTATCTTTCTGCTATTACTGTTTAACTCGGCTTTCAGCTAACTTTTACAGTTTTGCTTCAGTGAAGCTTCAAACTTTTAAACAATTTTTACAGATTTTCAAATTTATAATGGAAGTCTATGGACGGAATGTTCAGCTGCTAGAGTGTGCCACTCTAGCGTTTTCAAACATTTCACTCATGCCGAACAGCTTCAACTCACTCGCTCATTTTTTACTCTATCTAGATAAATTTTACATCAAAACGTAGGGATTTTTGTCAGGATTCAGGAAATGTAACCCTCATTTGTGTGGCATTTACGGTTTTCCGACAGTTTGGCCCAGACCACGAAGAAGTCCACACTTCCCCAATAGAAATCCAATGAGAGCTCTCTGAAAATCCGAACTGAAAATTCAAAAAAACAGACTTTTTCGTATCGCTCCCATTCGGGAACCGTTCGACGTAGCAACACGAGCCTTGTGGAAGTTGTTCCTCAGACCTTCCTAGCACTCACATTGAAGGAAGTGTGTCGATATCTTTTATCGTTTAGCTAGGAAAAAGGTTTGTTCGGGGGTAACAAATCTGTCCGAACCCCAAAATCAAGATTTTGACAATTATACACTTTTTTACATCGTCACCACGCCTAGACGAAATATTGTAGAAATATGAACGTTACACCAGTTGTAGTCCAAAGGTGGCTGACGCTCACGGTGAAAGAATTTTTTGAATACCTAATACGGTTTTGGCTCACCGCTCGTTTGTTCGGAGGGAAAGTTTTGCTTTTGAGAGTTCTGCTCTACCATTAGGCTGCATGTTATTCAATGAGACCAGCAGGATTTCTCAAACCTTTTTATTCCTCCTTCCCATTAAGGTTGTGAATGAGCTACATCCATGAAAGTTACCCCAATCGGAGACAAAGGATAGCTCTCGCTTAGACTGAAAGAATTTTTTAGATACCATTTACGGTTTGTCTTCAGCACTTGTTTGTTCGGAGCTGATAATCCCATTCAAAAAAGCCTGAGAACTAAGGAACGAAAGTGATGCGCATGTGTCTCTGTCACTGACAGGCTCGTTAACGTTGTCAAGGTAACCGTGCTTCAAAGGATTTTACCTCCACCACTTTAAACAGCACATTTTAATCTAATGGAGGGAGACAACACTGATTTAACATTAGGAAGTGGATACAATATGACTACTGGCCATGACCCTTCCCTTCACACGCAACCCTGATAGACTTTCAAAATAAGACTCCGGGGACCCTTCAAAATAAAAGCTCCTACATTAAACTCATATTTTTTCCCCAGCATATGGCTCAACATTATGACCCAAACTCAACCACTTTTAAAAAAAAAATGAGACTAGGGGTTTTTCAAAACACACCCCACAGCAAATTTCAAAATAAAAGCCTCCCATTTTCACTTCATCTACTGCCCTAATAACAGGGGAAAGAGTGATTTAATGATTGGAAAGTCATCAAGTATCACTGCTGGGTCTCAACACACAACCCTGCTAGACTTTCAAAATAAGACTCCAGTGACTCTTCAAAATAAAAGCCTCCGTATTGTACTTGTGTATTAATTGATGCAAATGGCCCAGCATTATGACCCAAACTCTACCAGCTTGTTTCTATTAGACTCTAGGGACCTTTTCAAAACATACCCCAGAGCAAATTTCACAATAAAAGTCTCCCATTTACGCTCTAATACAGCATCTATTCACCCAATAACATGGAAAACCAGTGATTTCATATTTAGAAATGGATTCTATATCACTGCTGAGCATGACCCTTCCCTTGACACACATCCATGATAGACTTTCAAAATAAGACTAAAGGGAACCTACAAAATAAAAGCCTCTTCCTTACGCACACTCATTCATTGTGCCGTATGGCTTGTAGCTATGACCCAAAGTCAACCAATTTCTTCAAATTACACTACCAAGGCCTGTTGACCACACACCTCAGTGCATATTTCTTAATCAGGTTCTAAGATTTACACTGTTATAAAGCATCTGCTAACCTTGTAACACGCAGCCTAAGCCTGCCAACGGTGCTTTCATTACCACAGCGGCTCGTAACATGCAGGGTAATTTTGTTTGATAAATTCAGCTCCTTAAGTGTTATTAGCTCTCTTTCTATAAGCTTCTCTCTCTGTCCTTCCTCTGCTTCTCATGGTCAGTCTTAAACATAGGTTTGTAGATTTTCAATCCTCTAAGGATGACACTGTTTTCTTTATGCTCATCAACCGACACATTTTAAATAATTTTCCAATGGTTTTGCCAAGTCTTGACATTTCCACATATGATTTCAAAATGTTAAGACTTATTCAATACCATTGTCCTCAACATTTTACTTCCCATCCTTAAGCTACTAATTTTTTCTTCAACCAGATAAGATTAAAGTTTTTCTTTGTAATTTCTTTTCTACTTCAGCTAATTTCATACTTTTCAGCCTATGTTGTGAACTTTGGCTTCATTCTGCTCTGTTTCTGGACAGGAATTAAGCTTTTCTGTTTGCTGCTAATTCATAACACGCCTGACATGTTTCTGGAAAGTAGGTAAACCCCCTTCAAAATTTCTTTATACATTTTTCTAGAAACTTGGGAGACATTATATTAAGACCCTTCTAGTGCCCACATTCAAGACATTTTTTGATATCATGTATGGTTTGGCTGTGCAGCTTTTAAGATGAGTTTGTTTCTGCCATTTTACTGCCAAATGATTCTACCCTACAAAATCTTCAGATGATTCAATTGTTTTCTGCAGTTTGAATTTTCTGATGACTTCCTATCTCATTTTCATATGTTCTTCAGGTAATTTCAGCTTTTTTCATTCAGCAAAAGCATTCCCACTTTGATGTTTCTCCGAAACAGCTTTTTCTAGTTCAATTTGAATTCTTCATAGTATCCGTGTGAAAAAGGCTTCTGTGGAAAGTGCATTCTGTACAATTATTCAAGCTGATTGGGTAAATCACCAAGCGTAAGCTGCCTCCCATGTCAAGCTTTTAGCCAATCACTGCAGCAATAGCTGCTGTGATGAATCAGATGTGTGTTTTTTATTTACTTACCATTTGAATGTGATGTGTAATTCATCCGTGACAATCCCAACAATGTTTTCCTGGAACAACTTGGATAAAAGCATATCTATCCATTTAGAGATTAGCAGCCATGACTCTGGGCTCTCAAATACCAGCTGGTAATCATAGCAGTGGGCTTTTTAACCACTTTTGCCAAGTTTTACATCAGTAATGCTTTTCAGCTTTAAGCCATTTGGTCATCCATGAGAGTGACTAAAGGAGACATGATAACAATCAGATCCTTCTGCAGCTTCTTCAATTGTTTCACGACAGAGTTAACTAATAAATCAAACTGTTGCCAAATCAGGTCGATACCAACATAGAAACATCTTTTCGTTCCTCAAAGAATGAAAATGGATAATTTTGGCTATTTAATAAAGAAATAGAGGCTGTTCCAGCTAAAACAGACTGAGTAGCAGAGTCTAGAGCACAGGTGTCAAACTGGTTCCAGAAAGGGCCGTGTGGCTGCAGGTTTTCTTTCCAACCAAGCAATGGCACACCAGACTCCATTCATCTCATCAAGTCATCATGTTAAGACTGGACTCACTTGATGAGATGAATGGAGTCTGGTGTGCCATTGCTTGGTTGGAAAGAAAACCTGCAGCCACACGGCCCTTTCTGGAACCAGTTTGACATCCCTGGTCTAGAGGTACATCAAATGGCCCAGCCATGTTTGTTTTGCATTAGTTTGCCACTTCTGGTTAAGGGCGTACACATCACTGCATTTCAATGGTTTGAAACATATCTATTCAAGGGTAATGCATCTGTTGGCTTCTGACAAAATATATTTTTGGGAGTTTGTTAGGAGATAGGCACCAGCACCCCACACGACCCCACTCGGGACAAGCATGTAAGAAAATGGATTGATGGAGTTTGTTAGGGCTGAAACAATTAATTGAACTTATCGTTATTAATCGACTATTGAAATAATCGTCAACTAATTTAGTAATCGTTATCATGAGTATAGAGAATCTAAAACATGCCTTTAGCTGACAGAGGGACCCACTTCGAGCAGTAAGTATACCAAAATTGTAAAAAAAAAAAAAAAAAAAAAAAAAAAAAAAAAAACACGAAAAAAATTTATAAATATTTTGCTTAGATATATAAAAAAAAACATATTTGCATAGATATAAAAAAAAAACCATGTTTGTCAATATGCTTAACCAGAATTCCTCAAGTGTAAACGTTTGTTTCACTGTTTATTTTGTGAAAACTTTTCTATAAGGAACCTTTTATTAATTAATAAACAATTATTAATCGATTAATGGGAAAAAAATGAGTGGTCTGGTTTTGCTGGAGGTTTCTTTCTGTTAAAAGGGAGTTTTTCCTCTCCACTGTCACTACAAGCATGCTTGGTGTGAGGGATTGTCTTCGAGTCAATGAGTCGAAGCAATCAGTTGGTTTTCCTTAGATAGAAAACTTTTAATCAGTTTGTAGGATCTGCTTGAATTGTCTCTGTAAAGTGCCTTGAGATTACGTGCTGTGAATTCAGGCTATATAAATAAACTGAATCTAATTGAATTGAGATTTTACAGAGGTTGAAATACACTTTAGAACTTCAGAGTGATCATTGGATGAACATAGGATTAACTTTCACTCTAGCAGTCGGGAGCACCTAACTTTATATTACTATAATGTTCAGTATTACTATTCATTAAATATTTCCAAATGTGTAAAAATACAAAGATGTTATAAGGCACCCTAGTATGTTCACCTGACTGCGGATCCCACATGTATTAATCTTATACAGGAGATTTTGTTTAAGCCCAGATGGCAGGTCACAGGTTTTGGGGCTTAACAAACAAAAATCTCCTTGAAAGATCAGATTCATTTCAGGTTACTTGGAACCTGTACTTCTCTGTATTTCCAAATGCTCTGTACCCTCTGTACTCCTTAATGAAGAACTTTTTTTTTTTAGATGATCTTGGAAAACCTTTGGAAGACTTTATTGGTGAGGTTCACAGAGAAATGCCTGGTCTTATTAAAAAAATCTGGCACACACGCCAGATGGGTTTGTCCCAGTCCCGGATCACAGGCTGGAAGAAGGCCACAGGAGATGTTGTGGCCATTTTAGATGCTCACATTGAAGCCACTCTGGGCTGGTAAGCACAAAACTTCTCATAACCAATAATTGTCTAAAAATAAATGTAAATCTAGTTCAGTATCTACTGCTGGGTTTAATAAAACATGTAGCTGACTATATCTTCTGCAGGGCTGAACCTTTGTTGGCCAGGATCAAAGCTGACAGGACTGTGGTGGTGTCTCCTGTGTTTGACAAGGTCAACTATGATGATCTACATGTAGAAAAATATATGCCGTTCGCTCAGGGCTTTGAATGGGCTCTGTGGTGCATGTATGAGCCCTTCAAACCAGACTGGAAGGAAGGGGACGAATCACAGCCTGGAAAGTATGTGGAAAAAGGAGATCTTCTCTTTGACCCCTCAGTGAGCTAGAATGGATTTTGAAGGTTTAATGTAGTCATGACCTTTTCACCACAGGTGGATACATTTGATCAGTTATATATATATCAAACTTAGTCTGAAGAACAAATCCCCTCCGTCACAAATGTCAAACATTGAAAATATAAATTTGAATAATAAAGCTGTTTTAATGCAGCCTAATAGGAAAGTTTTTTATAACCATGAAATTTTAACATCATAGTATAGCATATCAATAAGACTTAAGCCCAAGCTTTGACTAGGCCACTATGTACCCTTATTTGGCTTATTATTGAAGTTTCTGTGTTGGATTTGTTAATGTTCACTGGATCATTTTCCAGCTTCATCATAACCCATTGTGCCCCCATAAAGAGAGAGCAGAATTCATACCGCATGAATACTTTGCGCTCTGACTACAGATTACTCTGGTGTGAGCCAACAGAAATGATCAAGACTCCTGGATAGGTGTCAGAGGGTCTTCTAATTTAAGCCTGTTTGTGGTTAACATTACTCTATTTTAGCCCCATTTCAGACATATTTTTGAACTGGGATTAAGTTTGTGGTTAAATACCTGTATACCTAAGATAGCAGTTATCCCAACTCAAGTTTATCCTGCAAGTTACTCCATGAGACAACTCATGAACTTCTTGAAGCTATCCACAATCTGTTACACTTTTAGATGTGATCATACACAAGAAAAGCATGCCCTATACTGTTACTATGGCTCAAATGTGCATCAGATGTATAAACACTCTTCCATGTTCTCTAATAAATACAAATTGTTTAGCTATTTCACAGGGATTGTCTTAATTCTTTCATAATAAACCATGAACCAAGGTTTAGCTTCACACGTTTATAATATGTGTGGACTAATCCTAACTCAAGCTGTCTAATGCAGTAGGTAAAGATTAAATACAATAGCTGATAACTGGGCCATACCTCATATAACTGCACTTTTATATTTTTTCATTGATATATTGCTATGTCCTTTTTGTGTCCGCTGGGTTACACCTAGATGCAAATTTCACCTCTGTACTCAGACACACCCTTTTTTGTTCATGTCAAACAGGTGTACTTTTGAGGATGAACTGTCATTCTCTATCACTCATGCAGTTACTGGTCTCTGCCACGCTAAATCTACTTATTTTGCTGCAGGACCAGTTTTGCCTGTAATTTAATGTATTTGTAATCTATCTCTGAATAAAATAGTTAATATTTTAACTTTTATTGGCTCACAATTCATATTCTTCTTGTTGCCTTTGTTTATCATGTTTTCTGCATTTCATTGATGAGGGATTCTCGCTGAAACTACCCTGAAATCTGGATCTCAGACTCGAGTTAGCTACCTGATATCCCCTGTTCTAAAATCAAAAATCCTAAAAATCACAAAACTGAATAGGATGACTCAGTTGCATTGCTCTATACTCAGAGCAGTTAACTTTCTTCAAAGGGTTGAAGAATTATTTTAATTTTTCTCTCCTCAGTCAGGCAAAGGCTGGTAAACAAGGACCGCTAGATGGTTTACACACACAAAGGCTTTAGAATAGAATAGAATAGAATCGAAACAATAGGATAGAATAGAAACAATAGAATAGAACAGAATAGAATAGAAAGTAAAATCCCTTTTTTGTCCAACAATGGGGAAATTCTGATGTTTACAGCACCAAAAAGATTATAGAAAAAATGGTCACACAAATATGGACCTTAGAATAGTGAAGAGTTAAAAGATAAACAATAAAATACTGTTCTGTAAAGTGTTTTCAAGAATCTCTCAGTAAAAGATAGGGATAAAAAAAAAAAAACTCCAACAACACAGGGATGGCAGAGCCAATGCATTGCATACAACAAATATGGATGTGCCATAATTTTCTTTAGTTAAATAACAGCATCTAGGTAATCTTTTCTTGACCAAAGTAGATCTAACTCAGGCCACTTAATTCAGTAGGTTAAAATTGAATGTTAGCCCAAAACCTTAGTTATTACAAATAGAAGTCACTGCTAAAGCCTTAAATTGGTATAGTGATGGTTTCAGACCTGATCCTTTACAGGCAGATAAGGTAACTGCAAAGTTTTTCTTCTATTACCCCAAGAACAATTCCAGGATCAAAGGACTGATTTCTCAATAGGGTCTAGGGAGTATTTAAGGGAGTGGCGGCCTAGTGGTTAGGACATTGAACTTGGAATCCAGAGGTTCTGAGTTCAAGCCCCACTCCTATGGACTGACACTCTGAGTACCTGAGCAAAGACCCTTAACCCCAAACTGCTCCCCGGGCGCCGCACAATGGCAGCCCACTGCTCCCAAACGGGATGGGTTAAATGCAGAGAGTTAATTTCATTGCTCTGTACTTGTGACAGTGTAATGACAATTAAAATAAAGCTAGAAAAAAAAGCTGATCCAGAGAAAGAAATTGATTACTGTAACAGGTTCTACTAGTTGATCCATTTTGATTTCCATTTTATACTGTACTAAATACTAAAAGCAGCCTGTGATGGACAGGCAACCCGTCCAGAGTGTACCCCGCCTTTCAAGTGCTTGAGATACACACCAGCTCCCTATGACCCTGACGGACGGATGGACGGACGGGCAGATGGATAGATTTTATTCAAATCTAAGATATAAAAGCATTTTGAAGTTCTTTTGGTTAAAGATCAAATGTGAAGTGACTATTACTATGTTGGTATTATGTACAGCTTTTTTGTACAGCAGGCAAGTAATTGTCTGAGTTTTTCATGCTGTTTTGTGTCTTTCGTGCAGGAGTCCTTCTGTGATGGGCATCTTTGCAGCAGACAGGTATTTCCTTGGAGAAATCGGTGGACTTGATGGGGGCATGACAGTTTACGGAGGAGAAAATGTTGAATTTGGGATTCGTGTGAGTGACAGCAGATTTTAACAGCAATATTTATTTATCTTATTTATTTACACAGGTGTTATATTTATTTATTTATATTTTTCCTCCAATCTTTTTGTTTCTATAACACCAGAATTTCCACATTAAGGGACAATGAAGGGATTTTATATTCTACTCTATTTACATTGTTTAAGTAATGATAAACACTGTTGTAAAATTGGGGCTAGCACAATAACTGCTGAACTCTGATCTGTGTTGACTGCTCAGGTGTGGCTGTGTGGAGGAAGTGTGGAGGTTGTGCCTTGCTCCAGGATAGCTCACATCGAGAGAGCACACAAACCATATGCACCTGATCTCAACCCATCCATGAGGAGAAATGCCTTAAGGGTTGCTGATATTTGGTTGGATGAGTACAAGAAAAATGTGTTTATTGCCTGGAACATTCCTCTTAAGGTGAGTTGTGCTCGATATTTGAGTTGGACAAAGGCTAAAAGAAAGATTAATTGAGACTTAAGTGGAAGTATTTTAATTCTTCTTTGATGAGTGTAGTAAGACTAACCAATTAAACCAGAAACTATCATTGTCTTTAGGAATGCATTATATTGTTGGCAAAACACCACCTGTCACAACCAAGCAACTAATTAAGTTGTAATTAATCTGTAATATATAATTCCTTAACCAAAACTCCACCTTGTTTCCCATTGACATTTTGTTTTAATTGAGGGTTAAAAGGGACTATGTTAAATATTTAAATGAATAGATCATGAAATACATATATAAATCCATGGCATAAATAAATCTCTGATTAAGTTGGGTGAGGGCAAAACAGACTCTAACATCTGTTTGGCTGCTTTGCACAGCAGGTTCAGACAACTTCTTCCAAGTTTGCTGTGTCCTAAAGTCAGTGTCTTGGGTGAAAAGTGGTTGAATTAATTAGATAACTAAAAGACAGTGTTAACATTAATTTACAAAAGACTCTGAGTTTGCTGAAAAATGCCTCTATAACTTTTAGCAGACAGCTTGGTGTGGTTATGCAGAGAGAATGCCTCCAGACTTCATTCATAATCGCCATTAGTCCCGCCCACATAATTTGATTGGTAGAGTTAAACTTATAAACAATTTTGTAGTGACTCTTCTGAATAAATACAGACGGAAATAATTATATGTGTTTTTTAAATGATTGTATTTTAAAAGGATAAGATTTCATTATTTAATTATTTAACAGTACAATTGTTAATTTATTGACATTTAATTATTTAATTTAATGATTTCATGATTAAATAGCATATTTACCTGTTTAATGTTGCAGTAAATATATAAAATATACAATGGTAGATCAATGGTATTTGCAGTTACTTACCACAACATTTATTTAATCATGGTACCTTTATTTTAATACTTTTATCCCAGCATTACAGCAACCTCAACAAGTATTGGCTGCTATGTTAAAAGCACAAAACTTTTGAAATAATATCTCTGCTGTTCATCCTTAAACCTTAGTTCTGTTCGTAATAATTAAAACTGAATGAAATATGAAAATATGAAATATGGTCTTTCCAAATAAATAGATCAAGGCTTCATGTATCTATCAATGTCAAAGAAAGTAAACGCTTTTAGAAGTTAACACCTAACTTTAATAGATTAGATACTTGTTTGTGACCTTATTCACAAAATACCGCCTTCAATTTAACAAACAACAGCATGAGTCTGAAACTAAGAACTGAAATAAACTGTCCAATAATGCCAAAGCTTTAGTTACAACAACCTTTAAAGCATAAGGCTGGTGTTTCAATTTAATAAAAACCTGATTTAGTTTAAATCCAGTCCTTAATGGAATGTGTTTCCGCACATCCGATTAAGGACAACATATATGCTGTTGTTCAGGGCAGGGGTATCAAATGTTTCCAGGCCAAGGACTCCCTAATTATGTATAGTATGAAATTGTGTTATATCAAACTTGCCCTATAGTCATTCTATTACAGATGGAGTAATGTAACTAAAGTAATTTCTCCCTGGGATTTTTAAAGTATTTCTGATTCTGATTCCTGGTTGATGGGACAGGTGTTGTGAATGAAACGGTGCCCAGTTTGAAAGAGCTCCTGTGTGTCGCTGAATGTGTGCATTGATGACTGAGAGACATCTTCTGCCTCCATTTATCTGTTTATTTCAATGTGTTGAATTCATGTTAATGTGTATTTAAAGTAATTTCAATTAATGGAAAAGTGCAGGGGGGAATATAAAAAAAAGTCTAATCAACCTAAACTTTCGCGACCCCCATGCAGTACCTCTGTGGACCCTCTAGTTCCCTGCTTACAACAGCTGAGACTGCACTGGGGGGGGCAAGATAAGGAACTTAAACTTGGAGTGTCAGTAAACATGTCCTCTAAATCTCAAGGTTCAGTCAAAGTTTAAGTTGACCAAAGTTGAGCAGGTTTAATGCTGCTCGTAAATCAACAACAACCTCCCCAAAAGCAAGTCCACAAATCACAGTATACTTTAGAAAAGGTGGCTATGATCACATGAACATAGCACACAGCTTTATGCATTATAACACTACACAGATAAATTTACATACAATTATTCTAACAGCTCTAAACTCGGTTCTTGTTTCTTGCTTCCTGCTTCTCTGTGTATTCTACTGACCTTCCATCCTGATTCCTCACATTTAAAGGAAGAACAGCATATTTTACCCTGACAGCTGACATTCATGCTGCTGATCAGACCCATATGTTTTCAGTCCAATGCCCCAGTTGCTTCCTTTGTGTCCATCTCTGCTCGGTTCTACTCTCAAACCTGGCTCCTGCCTTGGTTCCTTTTTCCTGCACTCATCACATCCCTATGGCGTGTTCCACGACTTGCCTCCTTTACTGCCTTATTTTCTCTCTGCCCAACTTCCTGTCCACCTGCAAATGAAGCAAACCTTAACAAAAACATTAGAATACATACAATATAACAATGTAGAACAAAATCAAAAGCTAATACATATCTGTCAGGAAAAAAATACTAATAATTACTTTTCCCTACTAAATAAATATTATCAAATTAAAGGTTTGGTCTAAAACTTTCACTGTAAGTGTTTGCTGATACAATAAATAATTTATCTATTTGAAATTTTCTGTTATATATTTTCTTTATATATATATTTAGCTGATTATATTCCATCTGCTAAAGTGTATGGTGTATGTTTTAATTTGGCACAAATTCGACCTAAATATAGCTTTTTAACATGTACTATTTTGATATCAACAAACAGGATCATGGGATTGATATTGGTGATGTATCAGAGAGGAAAAAACTCAGAAAGAACCTGAGTTGTAAACCTTTCAGTTGGTACCTGGAGAACGTGTACACCAGTCTGGAAAGATTGGATAATATCCTGGGCTACGGTGTGGTAAGGAACATCTTCAGGGGTTAATGCAAAACCAGTTATTCTGAAATAATATACACTGTTCACATAAAGAAATAGGCTTTTAAATATAACATTTACACATGTAAAGCTCTGAAACAGCACTCTGATCAGCTGCAGAACAGCCTTCACAAGAGGATGTGTGTGGATCAGGGAGCGATTCCTGGAAGTATCCCAATTTTATACGAGTGCCACTTCCAAGAACCACAGGTAACAAAGATACTGATATGAGCTTAATATTAATACCAAGTCCAAAAAGTAAAAAATGTTCCTTTCCTGCAGCGATGTTACTACAACACCGAGGGTGAAATAATCATAGGGAATATAAAATCTCACAAATACAGCAGTAACCGCTGCCTGGTGGATCCAGGCTCTGGCAGCATCCCAACTCTGCATGAGTGCAAGGTGGCAAAGGTCAACCAGTTACACATGAACTGGGACTTCAGACAAGTAAGCTGGGAGCTTTTTTCACTGCCTCAATGCTTTCCATCTGAAACAACGGTGTTATCACATTAATGTTGTCTCAAACTTTCACAGGGCAAAGAAATTAGGAACAAAGCCACAGACAGATGCTTGGAGATCGCCCAGGGAGACAACTTTTACTATCAACTCATCCTTCAGAAGTGCAGCGGGCAGAGATGGACCATTCAGCACCTCATCACAACCTTCTAGCTACACAGAGAAAATCTGAACAGTTGAGACAGCATCTATAAGTCATGCACTCTTTAAATTAAGCTATTTTAGAGCGGGAAGTTCAAAGCCATCAGACGTTTTGTTTGCCACAAACCCTCAAGGTGGCGCAGCAATCATGTGGGAGATTCTCTTATCAGATGACATAGCCCGCAAAAAGATAAGCATGATGAAAAATTAACCCATGCCATCACTCTGACTATCCCCAGGATGAAATGCAATGGTGGCAGCATCATGTGGGTGGAGCTTTGTGCAACGAACTGTGAAGGAGCAGAGATTAGAGTCTGAGATGATGTCCAGCTGGTACCTATAAAAATAAACTATTACTCTTGTCATAAAGCAGTACCTACCATCCTATGTGCAAACAACTTGAACATAATAAAAAGATCAGTGAAAGTTAAGACTGATATGTTTCTTGTTTATTCTATAAAAGCATTTCTTTTTTTGAAGATTTTAGCAGGGTTTTATTTATCAACTGTTTCTTAAATTGAATAAATGTAAAAGAAGGCAGGGAGTGGTGTAAACGTACATCCATCCCTTCCATCTTTCTACAGTAACTCTCACGCACCTGTGTAGGTATGTAAATAAAACATCCTTCATCACCAGGATCAAACTAATACCTTAATAACAAGCTAACATTTGGTAAAAATACAAGCTCCACCTTCTCTTCTTGTCTCTAGTATTTTGATACAACCATACTTCCATTGTTAATAAAGAAATATAATAATTGTTAGGAAATTTAATGAGCAAGCACCGAACTTGTTTTATAAAAATGACTACAAGGACAAAATAATTTCCTTATATATGCCTCCAAATGTTCAGCTTGGCTCTTCTTTGTTTGCTTTAAAGATATAGTAGTGGATTTTCATTTTTCAATAAAAAAAAAAAAACATACACAAAAAAACCCTGTGCCCGCTCCAGAGAGGGAGCGCCTATTAAACGTAAGAGAATGCACGAGCCCATTTCTCCTCGTGCACGCTCTGTTTAAAAGTTGTTGTGTATATCGCTCGTACAAGCTTACTTTCCAAAAGAAGATTAGCAGGTTTTCCACAATGTCTGACTCACCACTGGTAAGAGAAAATGGGGACGAGCACGGAGGATATGCTTATGTAAACATATCATCAGAATTATTTTTGAGGATCCACCTGGAAAAAGAACATCTTCCACCATACCTTTAAGGTAAAGTTCGGCATTCTTTCTATAGTTATGAACCTCTTATTCTTTGTAATATCATTGGACAATCTTCATGGAAACCTGCAGAAATCAGAGCTGCAAAGAGCAGTTGATTCCTCACACAGTATTAAACTGTAATATTTAATATTTAAGGATCAAAATATAGATACATGCATGGCTTTTAGCTTGTTGTTGATCATAGTTAGACTGAGCAGATCAAATGGCAAATAACCCTAATTATTATCTGACATGCAACTAAGACACAGTTAACCAGACTAATGTTCCTTTCCTTGTGTTCAGGGGTCTCTTGTGGTTTAATACTGCCCCCTTAAGTGTTTTACATGATAGGCTCAGTTTCCTCCACTGCTCCTCCACCATCTAAAGAGCTATTTTTTCTCTGCAAACAACTAATAGCATTTTATACTTTTATCAATGGCTTATTTATTATTTGTGAGTCTGCGGCTGCCTTGCGTCCCTAAGCTGTTAGATTTTATAATTACAAAAGTTACTATGCTGTCACCTCAAAAAATGCTTTTTGTTCTATATTGCAGGCTGCAGTATTACGAATATCACTTTTGCAAAATACACAGTAGCTAGGATTTGACTCAATATATAGCCACATATGCAAGAAAGATGAAGAGATTTTAGTAAGTGATTTCTGCCCATAAAAACCACCAGTGTTTTACAATTTCTATGACAAGCATAGATTGGCAATGAGAGATTTTGGCCCACAGCATCATACTGCCTCCAATGAAAGCTGCTAGTTAAAGGCAAATGAGATTTCCCATTTCTTTTTTTTTATTAACCAGGCCCACATATTTAACTCATCTGCTTGATTATTTTCTTTACAAGTGGCTAAAAATGAGGGGAAAAGGGCCTTTTCAACCGCCTGAGATGTCTCCCTTCAGCTCCTCCAATGCTACTGTGGGCCTCTTGTGTTCTTTGGAATAATACCCTAATCCTTTGTCCGTGTTCAGATTACAGAATAATCAATACAGGATTTTCAAGACTGATGCTGATACCAATTATTCTTACATCAGTCTAACCATCCCCTTTATGTGTTGCTGACATGTTTTGTGCTTTCTAGAGTTGTTGCTCTATATTAACCATGTCCATTGAATGGGGAAGATGAAAGTTTTGCTCTGTAGCTGACTTGCTCTACAATACCTCCCCCGTAGACAGTTTCACAAGACACTCCTACAGAGGTGTGCCTTCTCGCTTTCTGTAAGCTGTCCTGGGGTTCACATTGGAGAGGAAGCCATCATGGAAGCCACCATCATTGCTCATGCCCAGCATCATCTCATTGCTTATAGTTTTTAACTATAAGTTTTCCTTTCTCTACATGGTAGTTACTTTAGTTGAGTTTCACTAGTTTATAGTTTTTAAGTCTATACTATAGACTATTATATGTTTAACTTGGAGCAGAATGATTTTTGTTAAATTGTTATATTTTGACTGGAATTTTTGGTGAATTTATTCAATATATGTGCAGAATTATCTGTTAGACCACGATTTGACCATCGTCACACTCTAATTTATTGTTCTAACACAAATCCAGTAGGGCGTGTGTTTACAAACAATGTTAGACAGTCTGAATAAACATATTACATGTTTACACTCCTTTTGGGGTGAGCAATAAAGCTTCACAACAACATGATAAAAATTACACAATTATTGCAAATGTTACATAACTTAAATAAAAAAAACACCTAAAATGAATAACAATGGAGAGCAACAGGAGGGAAGGAAATGCAGGCATTATTACAATGCATGCCTGCTGAATGCACTAATGTAATAGTTCCAAACTTTTTCACTCTTGGTTCCCCTTTTTTATACAAGAACGTTTTTGCAACCCTCCTCTCTAACCTTTTCAGCAAAGTAAATTACATATTGCAATAAAATAAGCTCAAGTCCACTTTAAATTACAAAAAATACAACATTTAAGTTAGACTTAGACTTACTTAGAAAACTTTTGTTGTCATGTTGTATACACAGAGTGTATACAAAACGAATTTTCATTTACTACAGCTTTCAGACAGTAAATTAACATTTCCATTCCATAAAGTACATCAGTGATTAAATGTAAACAGTATGGGAGAAAAAAAAAAAGTTGCCAAAAATGCATTGATATGGTAGTTCAGAGCATTAAATGACTTGTCTCTTCCCAGACTATTCCACACTTCAACTTTGTCAAGGTTGAGTGCATCCTCTCCCCGATGTGAAACGGCTTTCACTGGTGGATGGCTGTTTAGTGCCTTAAACCTTTCAAGGAAGTTGTTTAGTTCATTTAGGAAGTCAACATCAGCTGCACCCACCGGGGGGGGGGGGACAGTGTGTGGTAGTCTGTGATCGTCTGTACGTCTGTATGCCTTGCCACATCCTCCTGGTGTTGCTGGCATCATGGACAAGATCCTTGATCTCCCAGCTGCGGTTCTGCTTCGCTGATCTGATGGCACGGTTTAAGCTGGCACGCACTGTCCTGACCTCCCCATTCATCAAGGGTCATTGGTTGGCCCGGGTGGTGATGTTCCGGGTGGTGTAGGCTGACACAGTCGTGGCATACTCATCTATATTTATCTTTTTGTCACAGGTTGCTGCAGCTTTAAACATGTTCCAGTTAAAGCATTCCTGGAGTTTCTCCATGGCCCCCTCAGTCCACACTCTGACCTCCTTCACTGTTGTTTTCGCCCTGATTAGCTGGAGCTTGTATGCAGGAATTAGCATGACAGATAGGTGGTCGGATGACCCGAGGTGGGGGCAGGGGCTGCTCTGAATGAATCTTTGATGTTAGAGTAAACCAGGTCTGGACTGGTTTACTCTAGATTTCAACTCCACTCTGGTTGAGAGTGGAGTTGAAAAGTCCACATGTTTGTGGACATGAGGGAGCACAGTCTTCAAGTTTGGCTGGTTGAAGTCCCAAGCAATGATGACAACACCCTCTGGGGGGGACATAAACAGCCTTGATGCTAACCAAATTGAACTCTCTGGGTAGATAGACTGGTCTGTAGATTACAGTTAGAAACTCAATGTCTAGAAAGCAGAAGCTAGTGACCGATCAAGCATTTTTACACCAGTTGTTGTTGATGTAAACACAGACCCCACCTCCTCTAGTCTTACTGCAAAAAGATAAGCCTGATGAAAACTAACCCTTGCCATCAACCCTAACTGTGAAAGAGCAGAGATGAGAGTGTTTCTATCAGTGCGTTTTAGGATGAGACCCTCCAGGCTAACAGCATTGTCCGGTACCGATGAATGTGGCCCTGATGTTGTCAGGAGAATGGTGCAGCAGTTGCTAAACTCCTTTTTTGAAGAGAGTTCGAGTCAGAGATTATCCATTTTGTGAGCGGATATTAGAGAGCAGTATTGATAGGATCGGTGGTCTGTGGGGATTCCGTCTTAGCTTTGCACTTAGCCTTGCTCTCCAGCCCCTCTTACGCAATCTCGCACATTGTTTCCTCCAGCTCTCACCCTGGCGTCCCTAGCTCAAGTTTCAGCTTATCAACATTGGGACCGCAACTCCTCCAAAGCCAATCATCTTTAAAGACCCCATTCATCTAACTCCAAGCCTAGCTGCCCTCTAGCACATCAGCCGACTATCACCCACCTCGATATGACAGGATGCCCTCTGCCTCAGACAACATGGGGAGGCACAGAACAGCGCTTTGGCAATGGTGGGGTGATAGAAGGTAATCTACCATCGTCAGGACCCAGATGCATAAGATAAGTCACCTGACACACCAGATTTCTTAAACACAATTGTTACGTCCACCAGGCTTGTTTGGCGGGGGTAACATTAAAGGAGACCACACACGGATTTTCTTATTAACTGAAAATTGAATTCATTAAATTATATTAAACAAAACATGAAAAGGGGATAAATAAAATGGGGAAAAATAAAATGGATTAATGCAAAACCCATAACTAAACAGAAACAAGCAAATGCAAACAAACCTAACAAAACCCAACAATAGGATACAAACCAAACCAAATCAAATGGGGTTCTGACAAGGTAAGAGGGAGAAGCCTCCTGTCTGCTGCTTGTATGACAGCTTTTAAAGCAGACAAGCACCAATTAGGGCAAAATGGAACACCTGCAGAAGGCCTGCCTCCAGAACCCTGCAAGAAAAATGGCAGAAACCCACTGCAGCCGTAACACCTCCCCCCTGAAAACAGAGGATCCCAACTAGGACCTCTGTAGCAATTTTTCTGTTAGTCTGATCCATCAATG